TTCAAGGATGCCCCTCTACAAAGTATGTGCTCACTGTGTCTTCTCACCCTCCCATTTCATCTGCTGAAACCTCTCCAGGTATATATGTTTGCAGTTAGTTTTGAGTATGTGATGCAGGTTTCCCCTCCTAGAACTGTGGTACCAAGGATAGACACTTGACACAAAACGTGGTAGATTTTATTTCCCAAAGACAGGCATATAAATAGCTTCCATCAACATGCTTTCCTTTCAGAGTAACCCTGCTGTGCTTTCACACCATAGCCTGTGTTCTGTGACCTCAAACCCAGGCACAAACTCACCAGTGTCTGGCTCACTGAGCATGTTATGATTTCTGAGAATGCATCATATAAAGGAACAGACGTGTTTCTCTTAATATATTCATCTCACCTGTCTTCTGCCTTACTTTCTCTGCTTGCTTGCTACCAAAACTCAGTTACCATGCTATGAAGAAGCCTTTGTGGAGAGGACCCTTTTCAGAAGGGTAGATAGTCAACCTCTGTTGAGGTCTAACTGACAGCTAACCTTAACAGCTGGACATGAGAGAGGAAGGCTTTACAATTATTCCAGTGGGTCACCATCTGACTGCAGCTATATGGAACCCAGATCAGAAACATGATAATGATAATGGACATTTAAAGGATGGGGATGAAGCTCAGGGGATGTTCTTGCCTTGCACAAAACTGTTGCTTCAGTTGTCAGTGTAAATAAAATAATTAGGGGCATTTTGATATGAAAAAATGGGAACTGGACACACTAAGTGTGTTATAGAGGCTTTTGTGTTTTCTTCCAGAAATTTTGGAATTTGGAGACAGAAGTTGAGTCAATTAGCCATAAGGGCTGGCCAGGAAAGGTGAATGAGGCATAAAGACTGAAGATATCATTTTAGTTCAGTGTAACCTTTTGAGAAAAGAGCCATAAGCAAGAAAATTTGCAGAGTTGGGGAAATAAGAGTGCTTGGCATGGAAGTGGGAGGAAGGATGCCACCATGGAATGGATGGAGGAAAATTCTACCATTTATGAGGTCTTATATCTTAGCAGGTTTTATAGCCCATGGTAATAATAAATAGTGACAAAAATTATCATTGTTCGTCTCAACTAATTTGAGTATTTTTTTTATTTCTTACCTTCAAATGACTCTTGAATAAGACATTCAGTAACCAACTTGGAATAAAATTGGGTGAACCTCTAGACATAGTAGTAAATCAGTTGTAGAAAGCTTTGACTGCCTTTGAAATACTCAGAGGTTTTTTGGGTTTTTGTTTGTTTGTTTTTTTATAGCAACAAAAGGTGTCATTTGCCTTGTAAATTCCTAGTCTTTATCTTGAAACACAGCATGCCAACCATGGTGGTCATCAGTGGTACCGGTTCCATGTTTTTCATTCTCTGTCTTCCTGGAACACATTAGAATCATACTTCTTGGCTCTGTTATGGTGGAGTAGGACCATATAGCCAGTTCCAGACAAGAAGACATGAGTGGAAATGTGTCACTCTAGATTGCCACTTAATAGTCTTTGCTAGTCCTTCTAGTTTATCCTTTGCTCTATGATAAGTAACAGTGTTGATAGTGGCTGTCCCTATCTCTTCCTGAACTCTGATTAAGGATGAGGAAGCACTACAGAAGTCCAGCAGAACAATGAGGTGAAAAATAATCCTGTAGTAATTGAAGGAAGTTTAGGCAGTACCACCTCAGCATAGCCAGCCCACTTGGGAGACTCCTCCTCATGTGCTGTGACTGGGATTCTCCCAGAATTCCCCCAAACTGTCCTCTCTCTCTTCACAATGGCTGCTCCTTTGCCTCCAAAGAAGCCCAAGAGGAGCAGCACTCCCACACCTGCATCTACATCTGTATCCCTGGCCTCTTTTCTGCATCTCATACACTGATGTATGAGTGATCCTGAAGGTTCCCATTTAGTCTTGCAAAGCTGTCTTGAAAAGTCAACATAGTTTCTCTTTTATTAAACATTCTATGAGTAATTTTTACATCAAGTCTCAGTTTTCTCTCCATTTCTTAAACACTTGTCCCTTATAATCTCATTTTCGTTTCAATTCATTCACTAAAATCATCATGCTACATAAACAAAGGCCACTCTGACCACCAAAACTAAAAGCCACTCTTGTCATGCAGTCATGCACATTCAAAACTGATAAAGTAAAAGTAAAATGACATACTTCTCAATAGTTAACATATAGAGAATCACTTAGGGATCTTGTTTTATACAGATCCAAGGGCCTCACCACCAGAAAATTTGACTGAAAAAGTCTGGCATGTGCTCTAAATATACACATTCTATTGAGGCCCTGGGAATACTTATGGACTCCACTTGGAGGAAGAATGGGGTTTTGTTTTCTAAAAGTCTGAAATGGAGTTCAGTTTGTGGGCCAATGTCCTTTATGGAGAAAAGGATGTCTTCCTGTGACAGCTATGAGACACTCATGGAAATTGCTCTTTATATGATCCAAAGGAGAAACTTTAAAAGATACTTATAGAGAATGAGAGCTTAAGACTCTCAGTATCCCACAGCTGCTATCTATGACTGGAACTAATATTTGGAATTAGTTAATTAATTAATTAATTAATTAATTAATAGGGATTAAGGCTGGAGGTTAGATGACAAAATCAATAACATGTCTTATCTCTTTCTAAAACATAGCCAAGCTTGCTTTCAAAGTCAGGGCAGTGAACTCAAGAGCATTCTATAACATTCTGTGAAAATGCAGTCTTTGGTATTTCTTTGATAGTCAAGTTTTAGGTTTTGAGAAATCATAACAAATCAGCTGGACATAGTAGCATATGCCTGTAATTCTGGCTGCTTCAGGAGGTTGAGGCAGAAGAATCATACCTTAGAATCCAAGTTGGCTAATACAGTGAGTTCAAGGATAGGTTGGGCAACTTAGTGAGACCCTTTCTCAAAATAAAAATGAAAAAGGTATGGGGTGTGACGTTGTGGCATACTGTTTGTTTAGCATCATAATAAACCTTAGTTCAGCTTCCAGTACCACCAATGACAATGACAAAAAATTTAAGTCAAACACAAGAGATTTCCCTCAAAAATCTTATTCAAGATCACCTTCATTGGCTGCCATCATTTTGATACAAAGGCAGACATGTTGACAAGATGAAGATATTGTTTTGTAAGTGTGATTAGCATTTTCTCTCTCCTCCTCTCTCCCACTTAACTAATTGCTGTTTTCTGAAAAAATTTAGTGAAGCTATAGAGACTAATGTAGCAAAGAGGCCGTGCAAAGTGATTGCTTGACTTATAGATTCTCTTGTTTTATTTCAAATACGAAAACAGAGCTTTGAAGGGGGCTCATAGATGTAATTAATCCTAGCACTCAGGAAGTCCAGTCAGGGGAATTCCAATTCAATCAGTGGGCTACTAGTTCCATGCTTGTCTGCCCTGGACCACAGCATGACACTGTAATGAAAGGAAGGGGTAGGAAGGAAGGAGGGACAGAAGGAAGGATGAGATGAAGAAAGGAAAGTAGGAATGTGTTTTTAATTGTAATCCACATTATTTTTGTATGTTAGATAAGGGGTTCACCTGAGAGTTTCTTTTGAGGACTACTTATCACTATGATTTAGTCATTATATGTATTTGTAAGAATTAAGGTTAAAATTTACTTCTTTTAAAATCCTCCATTCAAGAAATTTGTTTTCATCATTTCCTCTCAGTAATGAACATAGACTACAAGTATTTCTACATGTGTAAAGTGTTGGTGCAGTGTGCACTTTCTATGAGTTGTCCTGTGTTAGAGACTGACTTAAAAAAGAAGAAATGCCACTGTAGTGGAATATGTGTTGCCCCATGTAGGAAAAGCAATCAATGCTGTGCTGATTTCAGGAGAATAAGAACCCTGGAAATAAAGAATAAGGGACTTCTTTGCAGAATTGAAGATTGAACCTAGGGTATCATGCACGGTACGTAAATGCCCTATCACTGAGGTGTGTCCTTAACTATAACAATTAATTATTAAAGGTTAATTAATTATTATTTACTACTGAGATGCCTTAGGCTGAGATGCCTCAGGTAGCAGCTGACCTTGAACTTGCTTCTGATCCTCTTACTCTAGCTTCCTGAGTAGTTGAGACCAGGTCTGTCTTAGGATTTAAAAATATCAGTTCAATGCCTCCATTAAGAAGGATTTTATTACAGGAGCATTAGAGGGTTAGGAAGAGAGTATGTTGAACCCTGGATTCTAGACACGGCAGACACTGCTTTGTGGTGTAGGATAAAAGCTCTCCCTGGCAGCATTTTGTTTGTTCTGGCTGTTTCTAGGCTCTGGTGATCAACAAGTAACCTTAGCAGCCAAGTGAATGAGAGCCAAAGAAAATAATATTAAAACCACATCCAGAGAAAGAGACTCTTGACCAAAACTAAATCTGAATCAGTTTCATGGTGCAACTTTTTGATGTTGTGGGTTAAGTGCTATGGTCTTTAGCCACCTTTAATCTGCTCAGCCATGGTAACTAATGCTAAGATAAAATTGAGACCTGATATCTAAGAATAATGGTGCTGTAGTAGATGTGTATAGATAGCACTGGAAAATTGATCTCTGCTCTCAGGTGACATGGTGTCCCACTTTTACCTTTCTGTATTCCTCTGTTCTCACTTGTTAAAGCTTGATTTGCATACATATCATAGGCGGTTGTAAATATACATGCTAGTGATTTACATGAACCTGAGTAGTTCCACAGACATCACCACAACACAGATTTTATTTGCTGTTTTTTTCTTTTTGAGACACTTTGGTATGTAGCTCAGGTTGGGCTCAAACTCATAATCCTCTTGCATCATTCTGCAATTATCAAGGTGTACCACTGAGCTTGGCCACATCTGGTTTTAGAACATGTCATCACACCTAAAGTTCCCTAGCAACTGCCTCTGGTCAATTCCTGCTCCCTCTCCCAGCTACAATGATCTCCCGTATCATATCCTTCCTTTTTTGCATGACTTTGGTTTTGACTGTTAGCATGCAGCTACTTTAAGACACACAGGTTATGTTGAAACGGCTTTATTTTTTGATCCATAAATAACTGTTACTGACAAAAGTGGAAAAATCCTTAAGACTAAATCTCACTAAAGCAATCTCTGTTTACAGTACATATAGGGTGTGCTTTGACAGCGAAGGAGAATGATGAGATTTGTACAGAAGCAGTAATGAGGGGCACTGTGAGTGATGGAGAAACTGCAGAGGTACGGATAGAAAGGTACTTTTCATACTACTACCATATAATAAACATAGAATCCATAAATCCAGCTAATGAGTAAAAATGTTCCATAATGCACCCCCCTTAGGAAATTGTGTCCCCAACTAAAAATGTTACAGTAAGAATTGCCTTTTATTAGAGAATTTCAAGAATTCTTTACTACAAAATGTCTAGTTGATTTTACAGGACTAGAGATGTCTTTGCCACTATGAAGCAAATGAATGAGTCCTCTTAATGGAGCGGCATCTGAGGGTCATTGGAGGGTTGGCAGCAAAGATGAGCAGGATCTTCTCCTCCCACATGAGGGGGACTGTTAAGCAAACTCACAGTATTATTTTTCTGAATGATGGAAGGTTGATGTGTTTGCGATTTACAAGATGGGCTTGATGACAGTGACTTGGAATTTCCAGTGGTGCTTCACAAGCCTTCATGGGGAGGAGGATAGTATCACGAAGAGGGGCCACAAAGATATTGGGATGGGATGTAAACCTGCCTCCCAGAAGCCCAGGTGGTGATGCCTCATCCTGTCCAGTTGGTATGGAGCTTCAGCATCCTGATGTGGTCTCCAGAATGCATGCTGTGGCATGGGATATGATGGCATCCCTTGCCATACAAAGCCTCTGCCAAAGTGCTCCTTTGGGACATAGAATGAATTATCCATCTGACCTTAAATACAAATTGTGCCCAAATGTCATGGTCAGACATCTAGACCCTTTTTTTTCAGCCTGTTCCCTCTCTGAAAGCAGAGTTACCTCCCTCCAGCTATAAGGACACCATAAATGAAAACTCCAAACTTACAATTTCACATTTCACAGCAACAGACACCCAGGTGGTTTAGGTATGTTTATATGAGAGGCTTCTGAGGCACATGCTCAATGACCTGTTGAGTGGTCAGACCTTAACTTTCAAATACAAGAGTATCCATGTGTGGCTGAGCCCATTGGTTCCACCTAAAATCTCGTGAGCAATCTGGTGGCTGTCTAGGACCTCTGAGGATGTTGCCACAGGGTAGCAGAGTGTGTTGGGTGCAGCCCAGTTGAAGTGGGATGAATTAGAGACAGGAAAGAGTGGAGAATGAAAACCCTAGAGGGTAAGAGTTGAATGAAAAATTGAGGGCTCATTTAGTCAAAGCTCCTCATTTTATAGGTGTGGAAACTGAGGCACTGAACTGGAATGTGACTTGCCCATAGTCACATGGCAAGATGGAGACAAAAGCCAGACATAGAAGTCATATTTCTGGAGCCTCAGTCTTCTCTCTCTCTCTCTCTCTCTCTCTCTCTCTCTCTCTCTCTCTCTCTCTCTCTCTCTCTCTCTCTCTCTCTCTTTTCTCTCTCTCTCTCATATGCCACTTTCCAAAATTAAAGAGAGGGACTAGGAAGACTTGTCTTTCATCTTTCATGTTAAACTTACTACCAAGATGTGTCACGTTAAAATTAACTCTTACGCCCTGAAAATACTTCATTAAAGCACAGCAAGCCTCCTGAAAACATCTCCCACTTCCTCAGACTCAGAGAGGATGGCAGAGGATGTGTAGGAGCTAAAGTCCCTCCTCCTCTCAGAGCAGGTGCCTTCTAGGGTCCAAGTGATGGGCATCCCTTTCAAACTATGATGTTGGGTCCAGTCCACAGACATTTGTGGAAGAAATTAGGGATGAAGCAAGTGGCAGCTAAGAACTCTCCAAAAGCAATGGGTTGAGTTTGGTAGCAGAGATGTTGGGGTGACTGCTCCTTGGATGAAGGGAAAGCTGTGATGTCCACTAGAAAAAGTGTGTTGGAATAGAAGCAAGAGCTACAGGCATCAAAGGGGATGAATCTTTGGCCAGAGCAGAAGACTCTGGGCTAGTAGCAGTCGGAGTCAAGAGCTTCTTGAGTCTGGTAGCTGCAGGAACCAAAGCTGATCTTTTGTCCATGGCACCTCTGATCAGGCAACTCTTTCCCTTTCCTTACAGAGATCAGAGGGATGGGGGAAGCCCATGACTTCACACCTTGGGGCAACATTTCCCATGTGAGGAAGTGTAACAAACTAATGAGGCAAACAAAGGACTCGAACACTGCCAGAGTCTTCCACAGTTTACATCAAGAATTCCAGTTCTTAAAACTAGAGACTTCAGCAGGTCCAGGTGAAAGAAACTAGGGCTAGAAGGATGTTGATGATTGTAGAGGGAAATGATGGGAAGGCACGAGGAAACTGGTGTGGAAGTTTAAGATGGAAGTGGAAAGAGAGGGAAAGATTTCAGCTGGGGAAAGGACTGGAACTTTTTTAAGGGAAACACATTGCCTAAGGTACTGGGGGAATTCTGAAGATCAAAGTCCAGTTAGGAGGTTAAGGAATTATTGGCAAGCTTTTGTGGCTCATAAATATATGGAGCCAAGAGTTCACTGGAGGAAGTGAGAAAGGATGGTGGAAAGATAGGGTTTTTAAGATGTCTTTAGGAAGAACACTTGGGGAAAGTAAGACCTGTACATACCCCAGCCCAGGGTAGTTGAGACATGCACGAAGGGACAAAACAAGCAAAGGGAAACCTTGAGTTTCTTTTGCTTGGGACATGAGTATTTATCATGAGGGAGCCATGACCCTCCTTTGAGTGACAGAGAACACTAGCCTGCTTGGGCTTGAAGCAGTGACATCTGGGTTCCAGCCCCAGATACTCTCAAGTGAGTTCATACAGCAACATAGCTATCTGGTTCTGGAGTGATGGGTGAGTTAATGGGATCTAGTTGTTTTTCCTTGTCACTAAGGGATAAGCTCCAACAATCCCCGTGGGTGCTGAAACCACACATAGTAGGAGACTGTCTATATGTATTATGTTTTCTTCATATACATACACACACAATAAAGTTTAATTTGTAAATTAGGCACAGGAAGAGATTGATAATAATAAAATAGGACAAGGCATAAGAATATACTGTAATAAATGCTATGTTATTGTGGACTCTTTCAAAATGACAAATGTTAATATTTCTGGATAATGGTTGACTACAGGTAATTTAAATGAGTCATGCAGAATGAAGGAGGTGTAGTGTATTTCATGTCCCAGTTAAGACACAGTTTTCTGGGGTTTGGAGTAGGGAACTGGATTAGAGTGGTCTATAGACTTCCATCTCTGTAACTATTCCTCTGCTTCCAAAGATGAAGCAGAAAAGCCTTCAGGAGAAGCAAGCATTCCATTAGAATTTTCTGATGTAACCAATCCCGGGTGTTTTATACAAGAAGGTGATAAGGCAGGGATGAGCAGTAGTTTGGAATCAACTTATCAAACAACCCCTGAGAGAGACAGACAGACAGACAGACAGATGACAGGAAGATAGACAGAGAGATGCCTTTGTCAGAGTCAAGGCTAGGGGAAGAGCCTGGGGTAAAATCTTGTACCCCAAAAGGTGGAGAATTGAGTGTCTGGAAGATTCTCCATGGGATGTCTAAACACCTAGGAGGGAATTCTTACCCACCACAATCTCAAACTTTCACCTTCCCACCAGCACACGGCCTTCAAAGGGACCAGCTAAGGTTAGAGAGTTCCATGGTGCTGGGCTGGGGGCCAGCTGTGAGACATGCCATTGCTTCTGTAAGTGAGCCACTCTCTATTTGGATTGAGTTCTTCTCTTCCCTGTAAGCCTTACCTTCTGCAACAAAAGCTCATAGACCCATGGGAACCAGCCCTTAAAAAGGTTTACGTGTTTGCAGGGAGGAAAGCAGAGTGGCCAAGGACACCCCCTCAGTGGGGAGACTAAGGCCTGCCTTTGGAAACCCCAGCTTCCATCCTTCTGTGTTCTATGGAACATTCCTGCTCTCACAGTTGGGGCATTCTGGGGAGGGGTGTAGGAGAGCTTACAGCTCTTGAAAGCAGTGAGTGGAAGCAGTCCAGTGACTTCTTCATGACTCCTAGACTTGGCCAGATTAAAAATGACCAGGACAAATACAAGCTTTTCACCACCTCTCTTTTCAAGGGCTATCCATGCAAACTGAGGGGATATAAAATCTGACTTAAGGGCATTGCTGCGGGAGTCTAGTAAGCGATGGTTCCATTTCTTAGGTCACTCCACCAGCAGTCTGGGGCTGATTATTCCCAGTCCCAGACCAGAGGGGTGCCCTGGCCCTCAGAAAGGGGGACTCAGTGTCTTCCTCCTCTTGATCTTGGGGTAGATGATTGCTCTCATTGATAGTTTCCCAGTAGCTGGTCACACCTTGCCCACCTTCAGATTGGAGGCAAAGAGGGGGCTGGGGTGCCCGAGTGCCCCTGCGAGGAGGAGGAGTTGATTTGGCCCCCAGAACAGCATCCTGGGACACCATTATTTATTTGCATTTGCCAATGGGTCTTGGTCCCATGGATCCACTGGTTTGAGGAAAGTAATGAAGCTGCGGGGGTGAGTTGGGGAGGTAGGTGGGGGGGCACAGGGAGAGAGAATGAGTTCTAAACAGAAAAAGGCGGTGGAATGGGCAAAACTGGTGTAACGTTGTGTGCAGGGCCGGGCAGGGCCACGTCAGAGAGCTCCTGCCTGTTCAGGGGCTAAGCTTCTTTTGTCTGGAAACTTCTGCCTCTGTCCTGCCTGAGGCTCGTGGGTAGGGACAGGCAGAGCCCTAGAAAATGGGAATGGTGAGCCCCTGAGATCCTGGGCATCACAGTGGCCCCCCCACCCTAGCTCTCTGCCCACCACAGGTGCCTCCTGGGAGCAGAGCTCGGGTGAAGAAGGCAGGCCTGAGAGGAGGTCCTAGTTCAGACCCAATGGCCTGGAGGAAGGGGGGGGGCGACCAGGTGGCTGCCAAGGCACTTTTAAAGTCCTGGCAACCCATCGCTACTACTCTCTGGAGGGCAGGAGCTAATGCTCCCTCGTTCGTAGTGGGCAAGAGCTAAAGCCCCAGAGAGGTTTGAGGAGAATCAGTGAAGGCTGGGAGAGCACAGCCCCCACAGCACAGGGGCAGGGGCAACCAAGCAGCTAAAGGAAGAGAACCCTTGCTGTTGTGGGGCTGCAGGGCTCAGCGAGGGAAGGGCCACTCGGTAGAGACCAGAGTTCCAGCAGGCAGAAGAGAATCATATTGTGCTTATGGACACAGCAGCTCTCTGGCTGAGAGCGAGCAGGCAGTTTTTAGGCACTAAGAGATTTCTGTGATGCGGTTCTAGATAGAGGAAGGAGACCGAGTAGCCTATTCGGTCAGCCCACTGACTGCACCCGCTGGCCGACTGGCTGTTCAAACTCAGGCAGCTTCGGATTACCTTCAAGGGAGGGTTCACTGGCTGGCAGAACCTGCGACTGAGTCTCCAGGAAAGGGTGGGGGCGGCGAGGACTGAGGGAGCAGCACAGGTGGTAGGAAAGATCGGGGCCTCACCGCTCTTCTCATTTGCATGGGGAGGATTCTACTGGGAGAGAAAGAGCTCTAGAGCCTGGGTCTGTGCTTTTTGGACCAGGCATTTGGCGCCATGTCCCTGGGGGGTATGGCTTTCTGGACAAAGGCAGTCCACCTCCAGCTCCAATGGGGGAACCGGTGAGGAGAGGAGAGCAAGGCTGGACGCTGTGCTCCTCATCCCTGCCCTGCTCTGCTCTGCCCTGCCTTCTCTCTGCCAAGCAGCCTGGCCACACGGCGGCGGGTCACACGGTCACTTCGGTCTTGCTGGCTGTGTAGCAGGTATGATGGCCTGGAATATAGTGCAGCTGCTCCACCGTGTTGTGTCTGCGGGAAGCAAAGGCATGGCGCTTGGCTGCTGTCTGGCTCTGGCCCAGGGTGGCATAGGAGTTATTGGAGGCACTGGGATGGGAGTGCATCTTGGTCATACGGTAGCGGTCTAGCACTGGCGTGGACACAAAGACGTCCGTGTGCGAGATAGCCCGCGACAGCGATTGCTCCGGGAAGGCCGTCCGCTCTGGGGACAGCAATGGGTCCTGGGAGTGCAGGCGCTCTGTGGAGAGCAGCTGTTCATCTGACAAGATTCGGTCATAGGGCATGCCAAATTCATCAGGCAAGCCCCTCTGTGGGGACAGGACCCTGTCCTGAGACATGGCCCTGATGGGCCTGCGTGGCCTTTCTCGAGGCATTGGCTTCTGTTGAGACATCTGGATGACGTTGAGGGGAAGGGTGCCACGGGCTGCCAGGTCTGGCAGGTGCCTCCGCCTCATGTAATACTCATCTGCTTCCTTGTCAGCTGCAAGGGGACAGAGAAAAAGAAGTGGAGTTATGGGGCAGCCAGGACTCAGGGAGTAAGTGGTGTGTGTGTGTGTGTATGTGTGTGTGTGTGTGTGTGTGTGTGTATGTGTGTGTGTGTGTGTGTGTGTGTGTGCCCTCTTGCTCAACCACAGACTTGGAGATGTCCAAGGACAACATAATCAAACAAACACCTTTAGTTAGTAGAGTAAGTGTGAGGAGGGCTCAGACAGGTGACCTTAACTCCCCCCTCCACTACGTATACAGACCAATCTTCAAGGGCTTGTGAAAGGTAACTTTTGATTCAGGGGCACTAACTGCCTGTACCCCAGAGCTTGTATCCCCAGTGGGACCCCAGATTCTGCTTCTTCTTCAGGGACCATCTTGGGGGACAGTTAAATGACTTCACCACCCAGCTTAGAGTAGACCTGATGTCAAGCCCAAGGTATTTTCCATGACCTGCCTGCTGTATCTACTGCATGTAGGTCTGAAGCAGAATGGCGCCTGGTCATACTGAAACACATAGGTAGAACTGACAGCTTTCAGATGATGTCTACAGCACTACTTTATGGAAACTGGGCATGGAATCAGGTTTTGTTAGAATAAAGTAGCATTTGTGAAAAGCGTCACTGGTAACCTAGGAACCTAGTAACACATTCTCTGGAGTAACAACCAATGTACAGGAAAGCAACACATGTGCATCCAGCCCCCACAGCCATATCATCAACCTACACTTACTATCTGTGCCCACCAGGCAGAAGACTGTAGCCATACTGTATGTACATCTTGCTTAGATGCTCTGGGCTCCTGTCCTTCTAGTAGGTTCCCCCAAAATCGCACTATGAGTCCTTGATCTTTTCCAGGACACATGTAAGTCTGCATTGTCTAGGATTTCCACAAGGAGACCTCCTACAGACAGCTGTTAGGACTCCTTGCCTAGTGTGGGAATGCTGCTTACTCCTCAGTGGGCTCAGGGTTGGGGTGGGGTCTATCTTACTGAACCTCATTTTGTAATTTCAGGGCATCCATCAGACCGCTCAGATGGTCAGAAATGCTCACCTTTTGCCATAGAAACTCAATATTTCTCTGTAGATGACTGAGATGGACTTGGACTAGACTTCTATTATAATGAGTCTCTCTGAAACTTCAAGCACATACTCAGCTGTGGAGTACTAACTGAAGTTGGGCCAATAAAATGATTTATGGGGCTGGAGGTGTACCTCAGGGGTCAAATGCTTACCTAGCATACACAGGGCTCTGTGTAGCATCCCCAAGACACACACACACACACACGTGAGTGGTGGTGTTGACTCATTCATAGGGAAATAAGAAGATTTAAGGATCAGGTCAGGAAAGAAAAATGTCCCTGCTTGACATTTTAGTGTATTAAACCTATCAGTGCCAACAGCTATTTCAGACTCAAACAGCAGAGGTGGATCCCTGGATAAACCAGATGTAAGCTATAAAATGAAAGTATGGACAGAAGTGTGAAGGCACAAGTCCTTGAGATGGTCTTGGTTGAGTTGGAACAGTTCTTTGGGTCCTTGGTGCCTTTATTACAAGGAATGACACACAGAAAGGCCCATGGTTTGAAGAAGGCTGGTGGCAAGCTGGTACCTGAGTGGTAAGTACAGCTTATAGAGGATGAGGGTCTCATGGTCCTATAGCATCATTCTCAACTATGAAAAGAGTGAACTCAGGACCAGGGGAGCAAAAGAAAGGGTTATGTCTATTCTCTTCATCATGCACACAACTCATTCCTTGTTCTTGGGATTCTACACCTGGTCCCTTGGGCATGGGATGACAGAATGATACAGAAGAGGAAGACTTGGGGACCCTTGAGACAGACCTCAACTACAGCAAGCCTTCACTTACTCAGCCTCTTCAGAGATGAGTACTTGCTTGGATTGGTCTTCACTGCAGATTCGTATGATGGAGGCAAGTGAGCTAAGTTCTGGAAAGATCGTGAGAAGGAGAGGTCATAGGGTTCGGTGGCTGACGTCAAGATGTTATTCATCCGTGGCTTCTCTGAAAAGGAAGGGCATGGCATTAGTTAACATAAAGGCAGATGTAGCTGAGTCCAGTGGCCACTTCCTGTTCCATCCCTGACTAGAGTCCCCATCTTGCTTCCCTATGCTAGAACCCAGGAAGGAGTGCTGGGATTAAGTTTCCTCCCTGTTCCATTTCCATTTGTCAACCATCCTGGGTGAAGACATAGTGTTAGCTTCCTCTGGCTGCTATGGCTATTGGTCAGTCCCTGAGGACTCAACTCAGACACTCAGCAGTAGATTCTTACTAAGGGTACATCACTGGTCTGTTTGATGAAAACTGAAGCAGGTGCGCATACACGGAAAGAGCATTGCCCTGACTAGCCTTTGGTCTACTTGACACAAGCTAGAGTTGCATGGAAAGAGGGGCTGCATTCCAAAAGGTGCTTACACCAAGTAGCCTGTGGGTAAGTCTTTGGGGGATTTCCTGAATTGATGATTGATGTGGGAGAGTCTTTCTCACTGGGAGCAGTGCCATCATTGGGCTAATCTTTCTAGAAGGTGTAGCAAAGCAGGCTGAGCAAGCCATGAAAGAGCAAGTCAGTAAACCCAGTAAGAAGCACTTCTCAATGACTTCTGCTCTAATTCTTGCCCCAGGTTGCCCCTCCACTTCCTTTCCTGACTTCCTCCAGTGAGATGCTCTGATGTGGAAGTGTAAGCTAAATAAACTCTTTCCTCTCTCATTTTTTGTTGTTGTTTTTGTTTTATCACAGCAATGGAAACCCTAAGACATGGATCATAAACTCATTCATGTCTATATGAATGTACTGTTTTATTCCAGTAGCTGTAGGCTGATCTAATTTTGCTATCAGGCTAATCTGACTTCAGAGCAACTCTAGAGCCTAAAGACAAGCTGGATACAGGACCCAACTTCATTGCAGCTCCAATCCACATTCAATCCATGGTGCCAAGCACCTTTGTGGCAGTCCGCTTGGGCCTCTTTATTCTCCATACTTGACAAGCCACACAGCAACTGTGGTTTACTTTGAGCCCCTTTTCAGAGGCTGCCTTAGTCATTTCTAAGCTCCCAGGAGGAAAAACTTGAGCACAACCTGCTTGTCATATCCTTAGTCTTTTCTCCCACTTTCCTTGAGATAGACCCTGAGATTCCAGTGTCAGAAGAGAAAACAATGAAGTGTGGGTCATTGTCAGGCCCAGAGAAAAAGTCAAGGAAGTAATGGAGATTGTGAATAGGTAAGAGTGAGTAGTTGATGACGGTTCACTCGGGGTGAGTGAACTTTGGAGGAAAGACTAGGATGAACACAAGACAGGAGAAAAGGGTGGGGGAGGAAGCCATGAGCATGGGGGTCTGAAGGGAATGGAAGTCCAGGGAAAGGAGACAAAATGCCTTAAGGTTTTATTGACATGAGAGGAAGACCATAAAAAGAAGTCAGCAGTTGGTTTCCAGGGAGATAGTGATGCCATTCTCAGAAATGAGGTAGCAAGGAAAGGTCTGGCTGTACCATTCATCCATCCTCTTTGTCTGGGACTTCTCAAAGCCAAAGATGCTCCGAGAAGGTGCAGGCTATAATTTGGGATAGAGATATAGAAGTGGATAATGGTTTTCTACACCTCCTGGCAGAGAGTGTTACATTATAGACTGCAAGAATCCTGTTGTCCCTGGGAGGGAGAGAGAGTCACCTTCCTAGGCTGTATACAAGGATTGCCCCAGGCAGGGAACTCCTGGCTTCTCTCTTTCCCTGCCTGCATTGTCACCCCCAGAACTGGGGATCTAGCCAGGGGATTTCAGCCAATAAGCTGGTGTTTGTGCCAGCTTTGTACATATGTGAGGGGGTGAGGGATGCTCTGTATCCCAAGAGATCAGAACATGCTGTACAGAGAGAGCCTCCCTGGCATGGACCAGGACAGATGCCAGGAAGTAGAGTGGGCATGAAGCTGAGTGCTGCTCCCTGGACTTGGGTTAATTACCACTAATCCACTACTTGTTTCTTCACTTCTCACCATGGTGGGGAAGAACAGGGTTCCCTCTGAGTCTTGGCATTTTACTCCCACTGAGGTCATTGCTCAGCGCTCCCTCTTCCAAACACTGTAGGCTGTGGATCCACATACTGTCATCTATCCCTTATCCTGAAATTACCACTGAGCCAAGACCATCTTGCCTTTTATGCTGACTGTGGTTGCCTGAGCCCCCCTTGGTTAAGCTTGTCTTCTATTGAGATGCCCTGCTTTAGTTTTCCTCTATCACATTTTCCCTTAGCTAAAGGCTCGTGACTGTGAGCTTGTGATGTTTTATCAGTCCACAATGATGTCTGTTCTATCCATCATCTCCCTTCAGTCAGTTACACTCCGCTTAGTTATCCTACTCATCTTTAATGAGTTGACATGACTTGATCTTGTTCTTCTTAAATGACTTCAGAGATACCTTTTGCATCAGTAGGCCTGCTTTCTAATTTTCCTGTTCTTTCAGATGGCATGGCCCAATCTGAGGATCTAGTTAATGCTTTTTTGGTTGATCAAGTAGATGCAGGCCCTTCCTGCCTTCCTAATTTTTCTACTCATTCCTTGAGGGGAAGGGTACCACCCAACAAAGGAATGCAGACAAGCACTACTTCCAGTGTGCTGCAAGCTACTCAAGAACACGAACCGGGGCCTCTCTATTCCCATATCCTTGTACCAGCTGGAATGGAGAAGACAGGAAGAGGTGGAGTAGGGAACAGTCCTTCTGTGTGTACCTGAGTCTACGCTTGTATTGACTCTTCCTGAAGTGGCTCAGTTCAATGGTTGTTCATTCTAGAATGTTACTGAACAAGTGGGAACTTTCCTTGCCTGCCTTTTCTGGCTCCTTTTCCCACTCCCTAATCCCCATAGCATCCCCCAGGCTCCCTACCTCTGCCTTCTGTTTTCTTCTTTCAGAATTCTTGCACAAATATCCCCCACTTTCAAGCCTTCTGTTACTTCCTTCAAAGATTAATGAGAACATTCCTAACTCCAACCTCAAACTACTTATGGAATGTTTTTCTTGTGACTTCTACAGTCATAGCAAATTCTCTTAAGTTCAGATTCAAAATCACTACCACCAATTCCATTCCATCCCACTGAGTATTTTTCTTATTTCTTGGATAGTATCCATCGTCAAGCTTCCACTCTTCCAAATACTCATGACTCTCCATTTCAGTCTTCATTGGTTCTAATAGAGATAAAAATTTTGAGTGACCAAATCTTCTTAATTGTTACCTCAAAGTATTCCTCACAGTTAATGTTACAACTGGTATCACCATCTTTTAACTGATCCTAATAATTTCTCAGTTCTAGTTTTTGTTTTTTCTTAGATCTTCCAACCAGAAGTATCCAGTTATGTTCCTACTCACATTACATGTGTCCCACAGCACTGAAAGAGCATGTGGAAACATTCCATTCCCTCTCCCTCATCCAGATATCCATTCATGCTTCCTCATTTAAATGTGGCCCACCTCAGTGCTGAGGTGCTATGCAATATGGCTTGAGAATGGTGATCCTTCTGCGGTGTGAACTACTTGGTTTATCTTACTTTCCTCTTGAAATATGGGGGAGGTAAACACTGGACCTTATGCAAAGCACAAGGTAAATGTGCTACCACTGATCTATACCCCTAGCTTTTGTTTTTGTTTTGAGACACTAGCTCACTTTCGAGTTTCCCAGGTTGGCCTTTAGCTGACTCTCTCTCCCAAACAGGCCTTTGGTTTACAATCCTCCTGCCTCATTTTCCTTAGTATATGAGATTGGAAGCTTGCACCATCAGATCTGGCTTTGAATTTATTTTTGTTTTGAGTGTGTCTCTTAGAAAACAGCTATTATTATTATTTAATTATTTAAGCTTTCAGAGTGAAGAGACAAGAATAACTGACAGGTTAGTTTACAGGACTGTCCTATGTTCTATTGGTTTTGGGAGAGATTCCAAATAATTTTTATCTGGGGTTCCAGATGTTAGGCTGTGGTCTTCTGGGAGAACATTAGAACATGACAGGGCAAGGTGACCCTGCTATCCACTGTCTCTTTGCTAGCACCCCTCTGCTGGGCAGCTGTCAACTTCTTCTCTGCCAAGAGAGTAAAGCTCAACCAAGTCTTGTTTCATTTATAAGTGATACATAATGGCTTTGGGCAAAGGAGAACATTAATTTCCTTGCTGCAGACATATGAAATCTATGACCATAAGGAGTGATGGATGTTGCAAATATAAAGGAATTGAGAAAGGGTCTCCCTTCTTTTTATGGCAGAAAAAAATCACTCTGATGTCAAAGTCCAGGATACAATGGTCTCAAAGGAAGAGTGAAACTGTGTGGCCTGGAGAAGGTCAGGCACATGGCTCCACCTCCTTCTCCTGTCCTCAGGATGGAGCCACTTGACATGAAGATGGGACGCGGGGCGCTCTCAATCAGCTCTCACCATGTGTTGGGGTCTGGGTAGCGCTGCTTAAGATTGGATGGTTATACTGACGATCACCTGAAAATCACAGAAAAGACATTTTAAAAGAAGTAAGGAATTCTGTTGGCTCTCCAACACAACAGCAGTTCCCTTTTTTCTCTGTTTTTCTCCAACTCTAACGAAGCCTTTCTAAGAAAGGCTTGCAACAATATACTAGGCACAAAAATCTCTCCTTGATGTTTTCGTCTTCTTCTAACTACATCAGGCTTCTTTGGTCACTGTAGTGACACCATCTCCCCCAATCCACACTCACACACATACACACACACACACACACACACACACACACACACACACACACACACACACACACGCACACCAGAATCTGGCTGACTGGCCACAGAGGCTATGCTACAGTACACTTAGTTCATTTAAGGAGGAGGATGGGGGTGTATTTAATGAGGACACATACATGTCACAGGCCACTACAAATGGGGAAACAGATTCTTCCTTTTATATGTATGGGTCTGACAACATCTGAGATGCAGAAATCTGTTAGACTCTATTCAGTGTCCAAGATCAAGAATTCTGAGTTCTTGGCTAACTGACCCAGCCCAGTAGTTCAAAAGCACACTCTCTATTCATAGTGCAGAAGCCCACGTAGACTGAATGAACAATAAAATCAACAGAGCCAAGCTGCCAATGCTCAGAGTTCAGGGCATTCCAAGGTTTTCTAAAATGGTTTGAATGAAGATTTGGCTTGGTTCTAAAGTATACTCCAACACTGTGATATTGCTTTATCACAACATTATAGTCTTGCTTTTCACTGGTATGTGTATCTGATTTTTGTCAAACAAGAAGGAAAAAAAAAAGACATGAAATCTTGGCTCTATGTTCCCTGAATTATGAGTCATAGCCCTCTCATTTTTGCAGGGCTGGGATATTGGCATTCATCTCTGTGCATCTTATTGAAAATGTCTTTCCTACCCCTGGCCTCACACTCTAGCTTCTTCACCCTTTTCCCTTTCCTCCTCTCTAAGTACTAGGCTCGGGTGTCTTCATGAAGACTTGGGCTCTGGTTTATAACTACAACCTTCTTACCTAAAAGGATCACTTCCAAATCAGCATATGTAGCCTGACTTTTCTCTTAAACTGCCCCTTGATATCTCTTCCCTTCCCAAAATGGCTTTGTCATTGTGTTCTCCAAAATTCAAGCTCTGGCCCATGACACTGATGTCCCATGAACTTAGAATTCCAAATGTTAGTCACCTTAGCAATTCTCTACTTTCATCCTCATAGCCAGTAAAACACAAAGTCTTCTATAATAATCTACTGAATGTAGGCCCATAAATTGTCATTTTTTAAAATCAAGATTTCTCTTTTGCCATTTCTAAGACAAACTATCCTCTTTCTCTTAACATAAAACTCTAGAGTGGCTGAGTGATTACTTGGTTCCCCTGTTGAAACTGAATCCTTCAAATAGACCAACATAGTATCCAGTTAGGGTGGGACTTGAGCAGAAGGCTAGCATTCCTCATAAGTTGATACTGGCCCTTCTTGAGAAAGACTAAGTTACAACCATGGAGGAAACTACCTGCCAAAAAAGTTGAGTCCATTCCTCCTTATACCTGGATTTAAGCAATAGGGAAAAATTCCCCTTCATATGGTAGAGAAAGAGGGGGGAGGATAAAGAGAGAGGGGAGACTGGAGGGGGGAGAGTTGAGGCAAAGAGGGGAGAGAAGACTGTGAAAAGATTCAATGATACCAGAATTCAGGAGGCTGAGGTAGGAAGGGAGGGTTTGAGGCTAGCCTGGGCTACATAATGAAAAGCCTTGTCAGAATGGGGATCAACTTTTGTTCTTTCTTTGCTTGTGTGGTTTATTTTCTCATTTTAAAACAATGTACCAATATTAAGAAATAGGAGAATCCAGGTTGAATGGATGGCATGTCAGTTGGTGACATTTGAATCTTCCATCTTAGAGTTGCTGTAACAGAAGAAAGAGGTGCTGGACATCTGAGATTTAGGGGGTCATTTCTGATAGTCAGTTGCACTCCATGACCTGTGTTAAATTCAGGTAATCTTTTTCTTTTAAAATTCTTTTTGTAATGTTAATTATTGTACTTAGTTGGATGCACAGCATACTATTTAAAGACATATGTGAACTGATCAAACCACATTTCTTAGCAGGTGTTTTATGTTCGAGAGCTTTAAGCTCATCTCTTCTACTTAGCCATAGAATACAGAATAGGCCTTGTTCTGTATTTGCCACCCCCACCTGTGATGTAGAGCCCCAGAACTTAAAACAGCTCCCCTCTTGTCTTGCTCCCACACATACTTCCAAGCTTCTAGAAATCACTATTCAATATTCAGATCAACTTTTTTGGCATCCATACACAGGGAGAACACACCATAATCTTTCTTTCTCAGCTGACATACTTCACTTAACATAATGTCCTCTAGGTCTGTTCATTCTCAGATAAATCTTTTTTTTTGTTGACTAATTCTTACAATGGTCTCAACTAGGGAGTGGAGTCAAATGACTATACACTATTGGTCTGTCATAGCCAGACACTCTATGAAACTACCCTGGTACCTTAACTGTAATCTTTATTGTATCATTAAAAGATGAAGTCAAAACTAGCTAATTGACTCGACTTGAAATGTGTGTGGTGCTTTGCTCCTTGTTTGAGCCTCACTGAAAGTAATTTTCTAACATTTGCTCTCTCTCTCTCTCTCTCTCTCTCTCTCTCTCTCTCTCTCTCTCTCTCTCTCTCGTGTGTGTGTGTGTGTGTGTGTGTGTTTGCTTGCATTAAGGAATAGTATTTCAAATGAAGTGCAGAAAAGAAAATTAAAACTGCCCTATAATAACCACCGTGACATTTTGTTCTATTTCCTCTTATTTCTCTTGTTTTATAAAGGACTGAGCAAGCTCACTCTCTCTCACACACACTTAAACAATATTACAGTGAATAATTGTGAGCATGTCACTTTTCATGCAGATTAATATGCTTAAAAAGTGTAAAAATATGATGGTTTCATCTTCACATTTGTACAAAATGTCAAATGTTGAGACAGCTCATTGCAACATTTTTACATCAGCAAAAAACCCAATATTTATATTTGCATATTTGTGTATTTATATAATGTATATAGCACAAACTCATATATAAATGCATATATTAAAATGTGCAGTTTCTGTACCCTAGAAATATTATTTTAATCTTTTCTATGCTTAATGAACAACTTCATGAGTATATTTTTTATGTTTTGAAATAATCATTGAAGCATATTTTTATTATTTTACCAAAGTTCTTTCTATAGGATAGTCTATCCTTTATTTCTATATGTCACTTAAGCATAATTTGTTTAAGCACAGTATAACCTAAGTATATTTGAGTATTCCTCCAGTTTAGGTATTTGGATTGCTTAAGGATTTAATAACGTTACCTCATATAACCTTGAGCACAGTTGTTGGCTGAATCTTATTTCCTTAGGCTAATAACTACATTTCTGGGTCAACACATTACCAATTGCGCCCCAATGTGCCAAAGTAGATGGTAGATTTTCTAATTCTGAACACTCATCTCTTCCTGGGATGTGCCCTATATGATTCTGGTGTTTCATTTTATTACATCTCTGGGTTTCATTTGCTCACATTTAACTTATAGATGTATACACATATGCACATAAAGAATTTGGATTTTCTGTGCTCACACTGTTAAGGTTTTGTATTAAAATTATGAGTTTGTGAAGTGAAGTGACTAGGGCTTCATCTTTATGCTTTGAAATTACTCATGTAGCGTTTGAAATATTGGCTACTTAGAGGATCTGGAGGAATGCAATAATAAAAATGCCTGATGGTGTGTGTGTGTGTGCGTGTGTGCGTGTGTGCGTGAGTGTGTGTGTGTGTGTGTATCTTGTGAAGCGCTGTATGAATATCACTTCACATGTCTTATGTGTCTCTGTGGGCATTGAGTCCTTCTGTTAGCAAATCTAGAGGTTTGGCTTTTATTATTTCATTGACAACTTTGGAAGGTCGATACGTTTTCATCTTCAATTTAGAGATGAGGAAACAGGCTGGAAGAGGTTTTCAATATTCTGTGGCCAGTAGTTGAGTCTGGTGGCTGGTGCTAGACCCTAAATTCTAAACAGAGTGTGTACTGCCCTCTCACACTTCACAATGTGATCCGCACACATTCATTCATTCATTCATTCATCCTTCATTTTAGTTTTCTTACTCTAAATTAAATTTGTAGTTTTTATTTTTCTTTAAAATATCAATGCTGAGATGGCTAAGCCATTGAGAACTATTGATACTTTGGGAGAGGGACTAAGTTCTATTCCCAGCAGCTGCCCTCTTCTGGCCTCTGGAGGCACTGCACATACATGGTTCATATAACATGCAGGTGAGACACTCATAAACTAAAAATAAAATATATATGGGGCATTTTAAACTGTTACCTTACAACTATCAACCCTCCCCCCAAAACCTCTGTAGATAAAGCCATACCCTTTTTCTCATTTTTTCAGGGGTTGGCACAATGTGTTTGAATTAGCAATTTATTCACATAATCTTTCATTTAGAAAGAGCCATCTCACTGACAGCCAGTTTTCAATCTTAAGATCACTGTTTTATACTTTGGGATTTGGTTATCCTGTTTCTTCACTGTCATTGGTTTGGTTTGCTATTGTTCTCTAATTTCTGGGCTTGACTCTTCAGTCCATTTATCTTCTGTCTTCTCTGTTAATAATGTCAGGTCTCCAGCACTGAATTTATCTCTGGCATTATCCCCAAAGTATAAGCACACTGTGTTATTTTTGTTGTTGGAACCTAAATGATCTATAATTGCAGCCTTGGTTTATCATTGACCCAAGAATTAGGTAATAGAGTGCTGTTAAATTTCAAAGTGTTTGGGGTTGCTGGTTTGAACTTTTGCCATTAATTTCTGGTTTTATTGTGCCATGGCCAGAAAACATGGCTTATCCAAATTTTACTTTTTGGAACTTACTGGGATTTCCTTTGTAGTGGTAATTCATAATCAGTTCTCACAAATACGTTACAGGCAGTTAGAGACAA